AATAGATGGGAGAAATGATGGGAAAATGGACAAATAAAAGGAAAAGAATAAGAAACTTACATCAAATGTTTCAAGAAACTGACTGGAATAAGTCTTGGAACATTTATGAATTTTTCCTTCTTCAGTGCCTAAATTTAAAAAAGATCAGCTAAAACATCTTTCTTGTTATAACTTTTTTTTAAATAATTTTTAAAATGTGAGATGTATTTTTTATTTAAATACAAGTTTCCAGATAAATCTTACTTACCAACAAGAAATAAATAGTCAATAGTTTTATGGAAGTCAAATGCTGTACCACAGCCTGAAAGCAGAGATATAAAAGTAAATGTTATGTTACAGATACCTTGAGACTTAATCTTGTGACACATACCTAGACTCGATAACTGAGTTCCCTCAGGACCCTCATTYGTTTCTGTACTAAGTTTTAGAGTGATGATATCAGTAAAGAGCAGTTCACTCTGGAAACAAGAAAAGAGTCTGAACATTAATACTCCTGTATTTTTGAAAATGCAATAGTTAATAGAATTATAAGCACCTTCACAATTGTCCATTGAACAATACGRCCATCAGAAGACACAGAGAAGAAGTTCAGATTGTTGTCCAAGTCGTCTTTTTGCCATTTCACCTGGGTCAAGCATGTAGTATTTATTAATAATTGATCAATAATCAAACACCTTTAGAGTATATTGATGATTGGTGATAGTGATGACAGTACTGATGGTGATGAGCCTATACTGGTGAAGCTGCTGCTGGGAATTCTCAGGAAATCTCCGTGTAGTACTACTTATGATGATGATGATGTTGGTGATGATGATGATGATGGTGCTGACGATAGTGATGTTCAGGATATTGATGAGAATAATATTTACATATACCATAGATGTACTGGCTTACCTGCCACACTGGATCTGTATGCTTCCCTGTYTTAGCAGTTGATCGATATAAAGCTTTCCCCACCTTATCACTCACACTGTACACCGCAACACTCCCTGAAACAAACAAGAAATAAAAGTTATCATTGAATGATCAATCTCTTCTTGAAATTCTCCACAGGCAACTCAAACAAATTTTCTTTTCATAATATTAAATAATAAGAAAATAATAAAAAATTAAGTTTTGTTAAACAAGTTATGACAACAAGATATTTCGACGTTTCGACGCCATCGCGCATCATTTTCAAGAATAAATTTATTAGATCGATCATAACTTGTTTAACAAAACTTATCAAGCACAAACAACTAATTCGTATAAAAAATTAAATAATAATAATTATTGAATTTTACCCACCATCGTAATGTCCAAGTGCAATCATGTGTGGATGATCTGGATGAATGTCGAGACACATGACACCACTCTCTGTTTGAAAAGTAAATCTGCAAGAAATGATTGACAACTCAATGTGTGATGYACAGCAAGAAAACAGAAGACYTAGATTGGAGTGCAAATGAYCCTTTTCCYATGAGCTTAMTAATAATTACAGACACATGAAACCTCAAGAATTGACCAAACTACTTACTCTGGATATGTAGGGTTCTTTAAGGTATTCATGCAGACCATGCCATGAGTCTGCTTAAGAAAGTCATCTAAAAACATTACATACAAAATATTSCGTGAAGTGCTCATTTATTACTTAAATTCATTAATTGAAACACTTACATGAGCCAAATGACACAGCAAAAAGATCTTGATACTTTGGATTCCTAAAAGATTTTGAGATTTATGAACTTGCTTAATGATGTTTAAGTCAAAGTTCTTGTCAGTGACAAACTTGCTCATTGTAGCAAAGACTATTAAGTTAGGGTTGTGATTTGAAAGGCAATATACATGTAAGAGCCAAAGGTTATCTAGACCTCAACCTATAGACCTGAACAGGGATAGTTAAACAGAACAAGTTTGTATGTTAAACAGAACTAGTTTGTATGTAAGTACTTACCAGCAAAGTGATGTAACAGCAAGCTTTCTGGCTTTTTCATAYGAAAACTTCCATAGTGGAAGCAATGTACCATTTGGATCACGGAACTCATCGGAGGGGTCTTCCCAGTATTTGAAATCTGTGGATAAGAATATGGCAAATAATGTTAAAACTAACTATAAATATCATGGAAGTTGGGTTCTGGTTGTTCACAGCAAAGACAATCATTTAACCTTGTGCAATGTCATCAAATGTATTCTGATTMACCATCCTTTCAACAATCTTAGCTGGTTTACCAATTCTTGTAATGTCGTCACCCTTAAAAAGAAGAAAATGATCTCAATAAAAATATCTTATCAAGTAAACCAAAAGAGCAAGGTAGCATAAATAAAAAAAACACACCTGGATCTCCATCTGAGTGAGTTTCTTTTTCTTGTCATCTTCTTTCTTTAGAGTCTGTGCTTTCCTTGTTTCTTTTTCCTTAATTTTTTCCTATTTGAATAAAAAACAAGATGAAACCTTAGGCACTGTCTTGCTATTTATTATCCGTAAGTGCAACTGAAAAGGCAACGTACCTGTCGCTGTAAATCTTCAACATATGCATCATAAATCTCCCACTAAAACAATAGAAATAATATGTACTTAGCAAGACAACAAATTTTGCTCATTTGTTTTTAATGACACAGTTTATATGAGTAAAAACAGATGCAGTGAATTCATATCATTACCTGGTTTGCTGTTGATGAGAAGTTTGCTCTGGGAGGAGGTTCAGTAGCTGTCCCACGATCCTACAGGGCAATGACAATTATACATCATTAGCAATTTCATAAAATCTCAAATCTTTTAGGAATCCACAGCATTATCAACAGCACCATCAACAACAACAATATCACTAGCAACATTGTCAACAATACCATCACCAACACTGGTATTGCAATAAGCTCAACCATCTTACCCTGTATGGATTATTATATGTTTGAGATGCTCTTTCACTGTAGTTAAACTGGTTTGTTAGTTTTTGTTCTTTCTTTGGAGGACCTGAGGATTCTGCTTGTCCTTTTTCCTCATCAGTTTTTTCCTGTTGAAAACAAATCAGATAAACAAGACTAGGTCTATAATGAAGAACTACATAATTTTTTATGGCCACATAATGAATGAAGCAACATTATGRAGTTACTTTTTCATCATCAGGCTTGTTCTCTTTCTCATCATCTTCTTCAGCATCTGCTTCAGCTGAAAAAGCAACACATTTATTATTTTAGTGTACTTTGCTGTGAAATTCTCATGGTAAGTATTGAATCTCACTTACCATCAGCCATTCCTTGACGAGTTCTTTGCCTCCTTGCTTCATCTGAGTCTTTGTGTAACATATTTCTACAACARTAATTTGGTTTAATAAGTTTTGTTAAACAAGTTAGGACAACAAGAGATTTCRACRTTTCGACGCCATCGCGCGTAATAATTTGGTTCATTATTAAWTGAAGCTTGGTTCTCAAACTCTTATTATAAAGAACACACATTAGCAGCTTAAATTTACATGACTGTAACCTACCCATCCAAAGCAAAGTGAATTGCAAGTTGATCAACACTTGACGTTTGTTTGTAGCATCTTTCCTAATAAGAAAGTAAAAAAAGTTAAAAAATCTAATTCTATGACACCTATAAGTGCAATATAAGTCAGCACTGTCTTACTTTGAAACTGTATCTGACAATGTTGCTTGGAGCATGAGGATTATTTGCAGTCAATATTCTTGTGAACTCTTCTTTTAATTCTGCCTCAGTGAGTTCAAGTTGATCATCTGGTTTGATTAATTGTTTAGGCTATACAACAATGATAAAAAAAAATAAAATATTAATAACAAAAATTTGATTATTATTGACATGAAATAATTTGGTCTGCCTCTATTATATTGTTATCTTTTGTTAATCGGGGACTACGGAGACAGAGTCCTATGGTGCTGCAATAAGCCATATATCCAGTTTTCCTATCTCCCAGTGAACTTGATTATATCAATAGATGTGGAAAGTGAATAAAAAGATGGGAAGTGAATGGGAMAAAACTTACCTGCATCCATTCATCCATGTCATCTCCCATTTGTGTCATGTCATCTTCATCCTRTTTGCAGGAGAAAAGAGATTGRTTTTATATTGTGCACAAAGAYAAAATAGCACTTATCTTTTTCATTCGAGAAGTACCTTTCGTTTGATCTTTGTGGTAGTTGTCTTACTAGTTGATTTCATAGCGACATTTGATGGTGTRACACCAGGCTTTTTGTCCTATAAAATGAAATAAGCTTAAGTTGCTTAAATGTCCCAAAATAAGTAACRTAAGGACAATTCATATTTACTTTTATGGTAATAACCCTCAAACACCGTGCAATAAACAAAACAGATCATGAATTATRGTGGTTTTATTCGTTCAATATTTTAGCTTTACTTTTGAAGATGGACAGTTTATGACTATCAAAATGCAACACCACCTTTTCAAACCACAGTTGCGAAAAGACATAAACAAATGCAAACATTTCGCTTCAACTTCATCCAAAAACTCTCTTTCTTACCGCCTTTACTTGCTTYGTAGTCCCCTTTTTCATTTTGACCCACTTTATGTGCAGCAAATTACCAAATTTTTAATTTATTTAAACAAAAAAGTACGATAATCTTTCCAACAACAAGACGAAAGATCCTGATTTACCCAAGGTTACTACGGTAACGGAGGCCATTTTGCGCAAACGCAGTACCGGTAACACAGGAAACCCAAAATAACATAATGTTATATTTTTCACTTATTTTATATCATTAGATTAATATTGAGGATATTACTGTTAGATCATACCTTTAAAAGTTTATAATTCTAAAGGTTTTAACACATACCGATTAAGTTTTTATAATAGCACAAAGTTTGGGCTTCCTGTCTCATCGTGAAAGGCAGCCATGTTGCTCTACACATGTGCAAGATTTCGTTCTTGTTTTTCTTTTGCAAAGGGACGACATCTTCTTAATTCTTCTTACTTACTTGCAAGGACACATACTACAAGTGTTCAAGAATCCCACCAGAGTGACGAGCTAATTATTTCATCCAAAAACTACACAAAAGATGAAAATACAAATGTCACAAAGTCAATTCTTTCCAAAGTGGGGAAAAACTTACACCATATACCAAATCATCCACTCAAGATCTTAAAAGACATGGTCCATGACTACATGTATGCAAGAAATCGCCGTCATGGCAATGGACCCCTCTTTACAATGCTTGACAATATTCCCCCAGTTGTAACAGCTGAGCAGAACTTTGATAGTTTGTTGGTGCCCAAAAACCACGTCAGTCGATCAAAAAACGATAATTATTACGTGAACAGCACTTATATGTTGAGGGCACACACGTCTGCACATCAGGTGGACTTAATGAGGACGGGTTTGGATGCATTTCTTGTCAGTGGTGATGTTTATAGAAGGGATGAGATTGACAAGAACCATTATCCAGTGTTTCATCAAATGGAGGGTGTACGTTTGTTTACAAAGTATGAATTGTACAAACAATTGAAGGTAATAGGAAGTTAAACCTTTTATTAACATCAATGTAGCATAGAGCCAGTTATCGGTACCTGGTTAGGGGCAACTACAAAATATGGGGGCTGGGGTGAGATGGTGCAGTTGATGTACACAGACTGCATTGGAAGAAATTCYGTTTTTATAATTTTAGGAACCTTTGGAGTTGTTTGCTAAGAATAAAGAAAGAACAGATGACTGTCAAGCAGTTCACGCTCTAGAGGCAGTAAAGCTTGTAGAATTTGATTTGAAAAGCACTTTATCAGGGATTGTAGAAAACCTCTGTGGAGAWGGTGTTGAAATGCGCTGGGTAGACACGTATTTCCCCTTCACACATCCTTCCTGGGAACTGGAAGTGAATTTCAATGGTGAGTGGTTAGAAGTGCTTGGTTGTGGAGTCATGGAGCAAGAGCTATTAAACAAAGGTAAGAAAAAAATTCTTAAGATATATTTAAAATGGTGGGAACTAGAGGTAAACTAGTGTGATAAACTTGATTTTAGCTAGAAAATTAACACTAGTCATGATGCCAGAAAATGTCAAACTTTTCACTAGTCTAACAGAGTGATTAATATTTTTCCACAATAGCTGGTGCAATGGATCAGATYGGATGGGCATTTGGGCTTGGTTTGGAGCGACTTGCAATGAGACTCTTCAATATTCCTGATATACGTCTTTTTTGGAGTGAAGACCAACGATTCCTTGAGCAATTCAAAGATGGAGAAATTAATGAATTCAAGCCATTTAGCAAATATCCACCAACTTACAAAGATATTACTTTCTGGACGACTGAAGGGTTTTCATCCAATGACTTGTTTGAAGTAATCAGAAATGTTGCAGGAGACATTGTTGAAAAGGTAAAAATGTAAATGTTAGAATTGAAATTTTGACTTAAATAGAAAATTTAGCAATTAACTTTTTTTTTATTGATGCCTAGGTGGAGCAAATAGACTTATTTGTGCATCCTAAGACGAATGAAGAAAGTCAGTGTTATCGTATCACTTATCGCGCAATGGATAAAACTTTCCATGCTGATGAAATCAATGCCATTCAAGACCAAGTAAGAAACGAACTGAAAAATAGGTTGAATCTAAGATTCAGATAACTTTAGAATATTTTTTTGCATCTAAACTGTCTTATTTCAAAAGGACAGCTGTCAATTGTTAGTTTTGAGCTGGAAAAAGATCTTAGAAAGAAATTCAACTTTTGTTTTGCCATTCAATAAAATAACCTGTACATAAACTCAAACTGTTATTAGTAAAAAAGATAAACAGACRAAAGCTTTTTTGTGGGAGTTGTCATAACTTAATGTCACGCAACATGGTAATTTGTACGTCACGCGATTTTTACTTGATATTGATATCGTATCACGCGCTGTTGATTATATTAATATTGTTGGTYATTATTAGGATATTTTTGGTCCACTTAATTTTAGTGACCCAAACTTGGGCGTCACGCATTACATGTACTATCCCTTGCGGTCATATTTCACAACCTGTCAGCCCCACACGAAGCCTTCCTAAAATCGTTAAAAAAAAACACACACAAAAAAAAAACACACAATAGATTGACGTGCCAACTCTAGCAACGGTATTTCTTTGTTTTTATACTGTGGATTTTAGTGCATAACTATTGCATTTACATTGACACTGAACAGCGGAGCCAGCCCACTTGCGAGCGATACACATTTATAAAATTGGCGATTATGAAATACAGAATATTCTCTTTCAAAATACATTATCATTAGCAAATACAATGATCATTTCCATGACGATTTTTCACATATTAAAACGATTCATACCCCTATAAATATTCCTTTCTGTAAAGTTCATATACAAACGAAGTCAAAAATTGTTTTTTGGGGTTCCTTCTTGTCAAAAGAACAATGGCTTGGTAGGTTGTTTCGCGATGTTGTCCTTGACTGTATGAGTCTTTGAGTGTTTTGTTAGGTGGTCGCTTCGCATGAACCTTTTACTACATATCGAGCAAACGTATCTTTTTTCGCCCGTGTGTGTACGATAGTGTCGCGCTAGTTCATCTGAACGAGCGAAGCTTTTACCGCACTGTGTCCACGAACAGTGAAAAGGTCTTTCCCCAGTGTGCGTTCTTAGGTGTGCCTTTAAGTGACTGCTCTTCCCATAGGTCTTATTACAACCGTTATAGTGACACGAATGAATCTTCTTTGCTACTCTCCCGGTTTTGGTTCTTCGCTGTTGAACTCGCGACTTCGCTTCGTTTGTTTTAAAAGTAGGCGTGAGACCACACTTGTCGGCTTCATCGAGTGGAACTCTCTCCCCATGTTCCTCATTATCGTTCTTCGGTTTCAATGGCGTCGATAAAATTGTTTCAGTGTTCAATTCTCGGCATTCTTGGTCAAAAGAAGTCAAAGCTTTCGCGATCATTGCTAAAGCAGACGTTCGCTCCTCGTTAAAACCAGAAATAGGTCTTGGCCAAAAAGTTTTCGAGAGATCTAGTAAACAGCGTGCGGCGGCCACTGTATCGAGGGCATAACTAGACACAAAATTATCCATTATGCCAAAATGGGTCGCTGGAATGTGAAATTCCTTGTAGAAAACTCCTCTAGTCCGTAAGTATGAACAGTTTTTCGATAGTGAAGCGTTGTTGATGGTTCTAAGAAGTGATGTAGAATGACAGCAAAGCGGCGATGTGCCTTTTATACCGTGAGGTTCGGACAATAGATTTGTTTTCCTTTGAAGGGGGCGTGGAAACAAAAATGGTAACCTAAGTAATTTATGCAACAATTGTCGCACGTGCGCTGATAACATTGCCGCTTGCTTCACTCATCAATCCATTACTAACTTGAGAAAATCTGTTTGTTTTTACTACGCATTTCACTCAAGTAATGCGTTGGCTTTCACTTAAAATTGATTACCTAAATCCCCACATCGTAATAAATTAGAAATAATTTATTCTAAATTAGCCACGCGTAAAATCGGTAAACATTAAAAATTTCTCTTGGAATATATTATGTCAAATCTGTTTAATGAAACAAATACGCCAATGGCTCATATAGGAAAGGGTTTTCAATGAAAACGCTGTTGCTTTAGGTTTGCTGGGGTTGTTTTAGTAGGGAAAGYTGTCCCAAATTCAAAGAGGGACACGCCTTCTAGTTGCGCTATTATTTGGGCAGCTAATTACAAACATAAGAGCTTGTTATGCCCGACAATGGCAACAAGGTCAGGTAACACGTGCTCCCACGGCAACAGAAATAAAACCAGCAATAATTGTTTTATTAAAGAAAGAAGCATTTAGAACAAAACAGCGTCTACAAGCTTTCCAAACTATTCAACTAATATTGTTTTTCTGTTTTCTTGTCAACTTTGCGTGTCAAAACTCGCTAACATTCAAGCTTTGACATTTCCGAATCCTAAACGCTCATGCATCAGCGGTCAAGTGGAACTCGAGCGCGTGGTAAATCATGAGAACAAGTGCCAGCTGGAAGACTTGTCAATCACGATACCGAGGTGTCGTTGTYCCTTGCATTATAGAATGTTTCAACTATTGCCATAGCAACCATCACAAGAACACCTGTGATAACTTGCAAAACTTACCAGTGTCAAGTCGGTACCCGTAGCAACTAAGTTCCGCCACCGGAAGGGCTGACGTTTACCCCATTTCTTCTGGCAAATTAAAATGTAAATAATGAAATGTCAAATGGTAGTGTGCGGCGGAAGTCCTTCGTGGCTTCAGAGTGGCATCGCGTTAATCGGCTTCATTTGGAATATTTAGCAAAGTTTTCCTGTTGTATGTGTGGGGTTGCKCCCGCTGTCGGCAACAGRGACGCATATATTTGCACAATTTCTAATCTGTCAACATTTATTCATTCTCTTCCTGTTTTTAGACTGACAAAAATCAGTCTCATGTACTAAAGTTGCCTTCTCTACTTTTATTACCCTATTTAAAATCTCGTTCAGTTGAGCTCTTTTGGATAATTAACTCCTCTATAGGGGGCCTACAAAGAACTATCTTGTGTGAAAAGTAATCCCCTGGAAAGTTATACATAATTGATGACTTAATGATAATTTAAACGCTAAACGATCAATTGCTAAAAAACTAAACGCATTTATTATGTCAGGTACTTTTTTCAGAATCGGCGGGGAGAAGTACCTGTCATTGAAAGGAAACCCATGTTTCATTAGGCTTAACTATTACGAGATTGCTTTAATTTATCGTAACCCAATGTACTTCGACATTGCAGAGTTGTATTGTCATGCAGTAACGATAAGATGAAGAATATCAAACTAGCAAATAAGAAACATAAGTGTAATTAATATACATGTAATGTGCAGGTGACACTTGTTGTTACTTGAACAAGTCATCTAATCATGATGATATTGTAATTGCACATGCTTAGCTCTTTGTCAATGATTTTAGATCAATTATTGGAAAAATCTAGAAGCTTATTTCAAGCTGTGAAAATTAATCCTTAAAACGGATGAATGGAATTTGCAAGAAAGCTCTTGGTGATAAAATCAAGATAAAAATTTTAAAAGTTTTCATATCATGAAAGTGAAGGAAAGTCAGTCAGCAGTGGAAGAAAATGTGATGATTCTTTTGTTTATTCAATGTTATATCCCATTTTTTCTTTCTCTCTTCCTATCTTTCCTTTCTTGGCACGTATTGGCACAGGAATCCCAAACAAGTATTCCGAGAAATTACCGAATGCTTACGGAATTCGTCCGAAGAAAAGATCTCTCTTCGGCTGATTGCGAAACTGTTCACGAAGAACACACGCCATCTTGGCCACGTTAGTGGTTAGATTTTAAAAAGTCCTACGGTTTATAGATTTCTTTCGAAAAAAAGAAAGAAAATCTTGCCTGTTTCTCGCAGAAATGGGAACCGTCGATTCTTATGGCCCTGCTTCTCAGACCTTAACGTTTTTGGATACGGAAGAAGCAGACTTTGGAGCGGACACGCAAGGCAGCGAGTACGAGTTTCACGACTTCACAGTTCCCTCGCAAACTCAAACTCAGTCGCAAGCATCACAAGCTGAGCCAAGCCAACCAACTGTCTTGAATGGAGCTGTTATAGAGCAGAAAGATAGGGCCGTCAATGGTCCTTCATCCGACGATAAGAAAGATGAAACTGGAAAAATAACAAACTCACTTGGAGAGTTGAACTTTGAGGAAGACGAGGATGAAAGCTACTTTCCGAAAGACTTGCCGGCTCATGCTTGCAGGTGTGATACTAACGGTTATCAATATTTTTCTTTTGCTAAAATCATTGTTGTTTTTTGAATTATTAAAAGTCTAACTGGCTCACTATATGAAACATGTGCACTCACTTTGAAAAGATCAAATACTAGCTTATATTTTGGCTAACCTAGATTTTAAATATACATGTAAGTAGACTTAATGGATTGTGGGAGCTAACAATCCCATAAAAACATGATTTCTGTTTGACTTTTATCCCCAAAGTACTCTACAATCTCTTATACGTATATCAATGTTTAGTGAATGAAAATGAAAAGTAGAAATGAAAGTGAATGAATAAACTTATGAATAATTAAATAGTAGTGATCTGGAACACAGTGAAATACTACAAGAACTGCTTTTAATATGGTTAATATTTTTGTTTTACCGGTAGTTACTGTGGCATCCATGATCCTGCATCTGTAGTTCAATGTATCCAGTGTAGAAAATGGTTCTGTAATGGTAGGGGAAATACATCTGGAAGGTAACAAAACAAATCATCATTGAATTTTGCTAATGCGCATATGCTGTAGAGTGTAAACATAGTCATATACAATGGAAATTTTGAATAGTTCCTTAATATCAATGATAATGATAATTATTATAATGATTTAAAATTTGTTTTTAGTCACATAATCAACCATCTAGTACGTGCAAAGCATAAAGAAGTCACACTACACAAGGACGGTCCTCTTGGTGAGACAGTCCTTGAATGTTACAACTGTACCTGTCGTAATGTATTCTTGCTTGGGTTTATTCCTGCCAAAGCAGATTCTGTCGTGGTGTTATTATGCCGGTAAGTAAAAAAAGTATATGTTCGTATGTTATTATGATACATGTTTCCTGTGGACCAAAATCAACTACCCCATTATTTACTATATTTATTGTGCCTTAATTTCTATATTCTTTTTAAACTCAAAGAATCAATCATTTTGTCCTACAGGCAACCTTGTGCAACTCAAAGCAGTCTAAAAGATATGAATTGGTAGGTGTACCAATGTGTAATAATATTCAAAGGTAGCAATGTCACATCCATCACATTGTTTCCTTTATCCTGTCAGTCCTGTGTATTTAAATAGACTTTAGCACTGTTTCCAGGAACTAAGATTAAAACCTGTTTTTTCTTGTTTGTTAGGGATCAATCTCAGTGGCAGCCACTGATCAATGATCGATGTTTTCTGTCATGGCTGGTTAAAGTCCCTCCAGATGAGGATCAGCTAAGAGCAAGACAGGTAAACATTAAAACTGATCATCACAGATCTCTTTTACTTACTGTATATTAAACCATTTCTTTCTTCAACTATTGGATTTCATATGTTTAATATTGATGCCACATGTTTTGCTTTTTATCATGATTTATCTCATGTAGGACATCAGCAAAACTTAGTATTATTTTTGTGATTGTAGATCTCAGCACAGCAAATCAACAAGCTAGAGGAACTATGGAAGGTAAAGAAGTGATTTTGTTACTTGAGTTTAATTTATTTTTATGTTTGTCTTTATATTTTTGATCGTTTCAAACCACTGTAAACTGTAGGATAGCCCAGAGGCAAAGCTTGAAGACTTAGACAAACCTGGAGTGGACGATGAACCACAGCAAGTTCTACTAAGGTAGTTTAGTATGTTTTGAGACTGTTAATTTGGTGTTTTACTTAGACTTGCATTTAATCCTTTCTTTTTTCCTTTCAGTTTTTGTATTTCTGTGTTTGTCTGTTTTCTTGTTTGCTCATATGAGTTTTTTTTACTATGAATTTCATTGAATATCCATCTTCTCTTAGGTATGAAGATGCGTATCAGTACCAAAACATTTTTGGTCCTTTAGTGAAATTAGAGGCTGATTATGATAAAAGACTCAAAGAGTCTCAGGTTGGTATTAATATTTCATTACAGTGTACACTGTATTTGGTCTGATTGGCTGTTGCAGTGATTTATCCTCCATCAAAATAAGTCATGTTATGACTTTCTTTACTTTAACAAAGAGTGCCTTGTTTCTTTAGACTCAGGACAACATTGTTGTAAGATGGGATATTGGTTTAAACAAGAAGAGATTAGCCTTCTTTACCTTCCCTAAGACTAATGATGAGATGAGGCTAATGCCTGGTGATGAGCTGAGACTCAGATATCTTGGAGAACTACATAAACCCTGGCAAGGTGTTGGTCATGTCATCAAGGTCCCTAATAGTATCCTTAAAATGGTCAAAACTGATATAAAATTGTTTTTAGTAACATAAGTTTAAAATCACTAAATGGGAACAAAAATATGTGTTTTGTAGTTATAAGGCATTGTCAAAAGTTGTGTGATTCTAGTCCTTAACATTTGTTAGACTTTGGTGAGGAAGTTGGTATTGAATTGAGAAGCAATGTTGGAGCACCTGTTGAATGTACTCACAACTTTGTGGTGGACTTTGTCTGGAAATCAACTTCATTCGACAGGTATTAGATAAAAGGAATGATTATGATTGGCTAATTCAGCTTTCAGATTGATTGATTGTACAGATATTAGATAAAAGGAATGATAGCTTTCTGTTTGATTGATTGACAAATGACTGATTGATTGATTAATGGATCGATTAGATTGACTGATTGACAAATGACTGATTGATTGATCGATTAGATTGACTGATTGACAAATGACTGATTGATTGATTGATTGATCGATTAGATTGATTGATTGTCATTTAACATTGATCACTGGAGGGAATAAAGCATCGCTATATATCAACAATGATCCATATCTTTATAGAATGCAAGCTGGAATGAAGACTTTTGCAGTTGACGAGACATCTGTTAGTGGTTATGTCTACCACAAGCTTCTTGGTCATGATGTCGAAGAACAAATGGTCAAATGTCAGCTTCCCAAGAGGTTTTCAGCCCCAGGGCTGCCAGAATTGAATCACTCCCAAGTGTATGCAGTTAAGACTGTGTTGCAAAGACCACTTAGCCTTATTCAGGTGAGTAGTGTTACTAGTTGAATATGTATTCAATATAATTAATGATGAGAATACTATGATGTCAATGATTGATATCAATCATAATGATGACTATATCCCAATAGGGTCCTCCTGGAACTGGCAAAACTGTAACATCGGCAACAATTGTTTATCATTTGGCCAAACAGAATAATGGGTAACATCTTGCTTGTATTTGCTTGTTGTTGTTGTTGTTTTGTACGTGGAATCTTTTTCATCAATAGGGATTACTAACATTTCTTGTTTGTTTGAAATAGTCAAGTGCTTGTTTGTGCGCCAAGTAACATTGCAGTGGATCAACTGACTGAGAAGATTCATAAGACTGGCTTGAAGGTAAAATACCAAACAACATTTCAAAACCATGACTGTCTTGTACTTTCTCGTTTACACTTGTACATTGTTGTGTAAGTTGAATTCCTGCTGTCTGTGTTCAATCTAGGTAGTACGTCTTTGTGCCAAAAGCCGTGAAGCAATCGATTCTCCAGTGGCTTTCCTTGCTTTGCACAATCAAGTCAGAAATATGGAAAGTGTGCCAGAGTTGCAAAAACTACAACAGTTGAAGGATGAGCTGGGTGAGTTGTCTGCTACTGATGAGAAGCGCTACAGGACACTGAAGAGAAACTGTGAGAGAGAATTACTACAGGTATGTCTTGTTAGTGATTGAGATTATGATTGTAATGTTTATGATAATGATTGTGATAATGATTATGACAATGATTGTGATTAAGATAATGATTTTGATTATGATAATGATTGTGATTATGATTATGATTGTATTCATCATTTAACAGCATGCTGATGTAATCTGTACAACCTGTGTTGGTGCTGGTGATCCTAGACTATCCAAATTCAGGTTTAGAACAGTCTTGATAGATGAGTCTACACAAGCCACAGAACCAGAGTGCATGGTACCTGTAGTTCTGGGATGTAAACAACTGATCCTTGTGGGTGATCACTGTCAGCTTGGTCCTGTTGTCATGTGTAAAAAAGCTGCCAAGTAAGGCTTTCGAGATTGAAAAAATAACTAAAAAGAAGAATGAATGAATACCAATTTATGGATGGATGAATGAAAGGAAGGCTACCGTTGTGATAAAGTGGTTGATTATACACCTGAAAATGAGAAAATAGATAAATAAACAAATGAATGAATAAATGTAGGAAAGATTATTGATGAATAGATAGGAGAATTGATTACCAACATGAATATGAATGAGTTAATTAGATATAGTTTTAATGATTGACATTTTCTCTCTTTTTTTTTTTTGCCTTTGCAGTGCTGGTTTATCACAATCCTTGTTTGAAAGGCTGGTGGTGTTAGGGATTAGGCCAATTCGTCTTCAGGTRCAATACAGAATGCACCCTGTCCTTAGTGAATTCCCTTCAAACCTGTTCTATGATGGTACCCTTCAAAATGGTGTCACAATAGGTAAGTAGTAAGGCTTTGGTCAGCATAAAGAAACAATATTCAAWAGGAGAGGGGTGGATGAAAGGATTATAATTTCTTTGACTGATGGTTTGTGTTGTACTTTCAGCTGAACGCCTTCAGCCTGGTGTTGACTTTCCATGGCCTGTACCCGACAAGCCAATGTTCTTCTATGCTACAATGGGTCAAGAAGAGATAGCTTCATCAGGAACTTCTTATCTTAACAGGTTAGAGCTGCTTTGGTTTCTCTAATGATGCAGTTAAATTACACACTGAAAATGAAGTACTGACATGTAGCACTTTGGTCCTTATTTTTGCTTATTATGACCTTCATTAACTCAAAACTATCCTCATCATTTACCTTGCTTTATTAGGACTGAGGCTGCTAATGTAGAAAAGATTGTAACCAGGTTTCTAAGAGCTGGTATTAAGCCAGAACAGATAGGTGTTATAACACCATATGAAGGGCAAAGAGCCTATCTTGTACAATACATGCAGTTCAGTGGATCACTCCATGCAAACCTGTACATGGTAAGAATGTTGTAATTATTTCTAAAACACTTGGTTGCAGTAAAACTGTKAACTTTCAACTATTGCCAACACTATAAGACTGGTATCTTATTACTTTAGGAAGTGGAAGTAGCAAGTGTTGACGCTTTCCAAGGCAGAGAAAAGGATTATATCATTCTATCTTGTGTCAGGTCCAATGAACACCAGGTAAAAATAGCATTTTGAAATGATTTTTTTTACATTTTTTATGAGAAGGTGATATTTAATGCACAGCAAAATGTTTTGTGTAGGATACAATATTGAAAAGAAAATCATTATAATAATTGTGATTCCTTTTGTAGGGTATTGGTTTTTTGAATGATCCAAGACGTTTAAATGTAGCGCTAACAAGAGCAAAGTAAGTTTGTGTTTGTTTTGCTCTGTAAATTAACGAATTCTCTACTAATGTTTTTACTTTTTATTTTCTCAGGTATGGAATTATTCTTATTGGCAACCCTAAGGTTCTTTCAAAGGTATTTTCATAATTAACATTAGTCTTTTAAGWTGTAATGAAATTTGTAAGCATGATTGCAACTTTGTTCTGTTTAGCAACCACTGTGGAATCATCTTCTGAATTATTACAAGGAAAACAAAGCTCTTGTTGAGGGTAAGATATACACAAAGAAAGAAAGAGAGAAGTAATAAGAAAAGAAAGAAGAAAAAATATGACTTGCAAGGGTGAAGTAAAGAAACTTCAAAAAGTGAAAGAATGAAAAGTGAATGAAAGAAATGAAAGAGGGAAATAAAGAGCTGATTCAATCAATGGATTTAAACTTTAGATTTTAAAGTAGGTTAGAATGATTAAGAACAAGTGTTGATTTTACAGGTCCCCTCAACAACCTGAAGGAGAGCATGATGCAGTTCAGCAAGCCGAGAAAACTTGTCAACAGAACAAATCCTGTATGTTACACAAAGCTGTTTGTAATTCACCATTTGTTATAAAGCTCTATTAATATTTGCCTATTTTCCAGCAATTTATCATAGGCTACAATAGTATTGTCTTTTCTTATTAGGGAGGACGTTTCATGAGTACCACCATGTTTGATGCACGCGAGGCACTTATTCCTGGCAGCATCTACGACAGGAACATCCCTAGAATGGACCCATCAGCATTCCATGACCAGTACTATCGTACACATGAYCGATTGGGATACATTGGTGCAGAGAGAGCTATGCCACCTGCTGCGGCGGCGAGTATCCCTGTCCCTGTTGGCATGTTCATCCCACCAGTTCCTCCACCCCACCATTCTTTCTTCAACCAGGTATAGTTGATCAATTTGATTGCTGAACTTGAGCAAATTTGCTACCAGATTTTTCTCCAAAAAGTAGTTTTATTGTATCACAAACTCTTCTGTTATAGATGTCAGGCAGAATGCCACATGGGCGTGTCCCTCAGCAGCGACCACGAGGCCAGCGACAACAACAGGGTGTGCATTATCCAGTCCATATGCCTGCAAGTCAGGCAAGTCAGGTATGTAGCATAGTRATGGTGGTAGTGTTATTAGTGGTTAGGATAGTATGGTGAGAATGTTGATTACAAAGATAATGGTTGTGATAATGATGATGATGGTGATGGTGGTAGTGATGATGATGATGATGATGGTGGTGATGGTAATGATGATGATGTTGATGATGATAATGATGATGATGATATTGATTATGATGATGATGCTGCTGCTGATGTTGATGATGATAGTGGTGGAGATTGCAGTGACTTGTTTGTGAAACTTCTATTTCATTCCCTTACTTAGTCTATAAGGTGCTAAATATTTTGCAGGATGCCTCTCAACCTCTATCACAAGGTCCRTTAACTCAAGGTGGAATGTCAATGAGTCAACCAATGGCATCGCAGCCTCTTTCACAGCCAGACTTGTCACAGGTATTTTTATCACACAAAATTGATTAGTACTCGGAAAACAATCTCGCAACAGCTTCAAAGCCTAGTATAAACACTATAAAACCTGGATGCTAATCAGGCTTTTGAAAATGTTGTCAACCTGAGAAGGTAAAATGGGCAGGAGAAGTATTCAAGCAAACCAAATTCTCATGTCCAATCTCGCCCCCAAGTGATCTTGCCCCGTGATTTCACCCCATGATTTCACCCCCACATAGTCATGGATATATGTGCAGTGGATAATGGATACAAGCTAGTCGCTCTGCGAGACATTATAGCTTACATTAATAATACCTTATGCATGATTTACAGGACAGTTACCTTGGTGATGAGTTCAACCTCAAGTCTCAGGCAGATGCTGTGTTGTCGCAAGACTCCACCTATCAGGGAGATCGAGGTGGTTACATTAACTCCCAGCCAGACTATGCCTCACAACCAAATTATGCCTCGCAATATTAGAACTGCTAACTCAAAAGCAGTTGGTAAGGTGGCTCAATACCATCAGAGCCACTGACACCATGGCAACCTCCCGGATATGTCATGGTGATACAACCTCAGCCTCGTCAGCATGTCTCCATACYGATTCCCGGATATAACAATATATTGTTTTGGTTGCACAAAGACTTGTTCGTTTGGTTTCTGGCCTAGGACCATTGGATGTGGTAAAATATTAACCCAACACAGAAAAACTCAATTTATCCAGAGTACCACTGAAAGACATACGATGCAATACTAGTTATTGCAGTTATTGTTTCTTGTGTTTGTACTTTACAGTGAAGTGAAAGGAAAGAAAAAACAATGAAATAGATATCAGACAAATGCAGTGGAAAACTATCAGGAAACTCAAGGGTAACCATTGCAGAGGTGTAGTGATTGCAGTTCAAWCTAAATTGCATAAAACTGCAMAAAATCCTTTKTCTATTTTAGCTTTTCAAGAACTTTCAGGATCAGTATTTCAYGACTGTTTAGTTTAATATCTATTTCAAAGGCTTTGTGATGTTTTTGATGTGTTCTCTGGCCATATACAGGTCKTGAATTAGAGTTGGATGCCTGTGAAATGAGCATTGTTAAGATGGGATTGGTATTATGAGATTTTTTGCAAACAATTTTATTTTAAATTTCTTGGATACCAAAAACTGTTTTTGAAGAAAGCTGCCATAACATTTCATCTTTGAAATGGTAATAGTACTAGGAATGTTGTAAAGTAATTCCTTGTTAGGTCTGTTCTCTGTTGTTGTGTATTTTAGGGTTTTAGGTACTAAGAGTAGATGTACTTAACCTGGGAAGCAAAAAGTACCAATTGCTATTAAATGGTGTTTATTAAACAATACAAAACAAGAAATTAGCACCTCAAATAACTATTTATATTCATGGATTAAGTATATGCACTCCCGAAAGGCTGGTTCACACCTGTGATTTTTGTGGCAATTTCTCTGGAAGTTTTCAAGAATATAATAGATTTTCTCTTAACCTTCTGAAGAGTTGTTAGCTTTTAAACTTAACAAGTTGATTCTTTAACAGTATTCTCTAGGATCAAAATGACCACAAAATTGATGCTAAAATCACTAGTAAGAACCCTCCTTAACAGTTGTAGTATTGACTGATTCTTTCATTCAAAGAAGTCACCAAATAGTATCCATATTATTCACAATTTTCAGATAATTTCCATTGCAATTTTTTTTGCATGTTTAAGGTCATGTTTTGACGACAGTAAACTATCTCAGATTTGTGAGATATGCAATTTAATTCAGAAAATGATGGCAAACATGTTAGGTAAAGATTTAGACACTGTACAATGTACATTAATGAGCTATACAACACTAAGCCACAAGTCAGTGTTTTTAATTTGACTGTGAAATGATGTCACATTTGCAAAGAAGAAAATTAGCCTACTAACATTTCTAAACCTATTCAGAGTTTAACAACCCAGCTCAATATGGCTGCATGCCTTGGGATAAACTCAAATATTCATGAGGGTCAATTGAAGAATAATAATGTTGCTTCATTGCTCTCTTTATTGAGCCAGTCTAACAAACTCTGTTCAACTTATTTGCTCTTTCAGTCTGATGAAAATTTACTGTACTTTTACAAATAAAATAGTTAAATACTAATCCCATACCTGTTATTTCAAATTTGTTGTTAAATAAAATGGTGTCCCAAGAAAAACTGCCTCATGTTTTTTATCTAATATAAATTAAATAATTTTAAAATCACACAGAAACTAAATAATTTTATGACATTTAAATACACATTTTTTCATTTGATTTTGATGAAAAAGAAAGTTGCCCTGATCTACTTTTTGCCCTATGGTTACATTAATAAATTTGGCTCTAGAGAGCTGTTTCTACACTCTTGGAACAGAGTTATAAATAAAACCAATTTATTTGCTTGTTATCTTAAAGTGCATCCCTGACACTTAGCAATTTTTATTTGCCATAAGTAAGTGTGAAAACTAAACTATTTTTGCTGGATTGAAGGCATTTCCTTCTTAAAGCATGATGAACAGTAACCCTGCCTGTCAAGACTCCCATAAAATTCACAACCGTCCTTACGACACTTAGAGCTTGTGATGTTTGGCATTGTACCTTTACATGCTTCTGAATACGAAGGYGGTTGGACTGCTGGAGGTTGTGGTGGTTGGACTGCTGGAGGTTGTACTGTCTGCCTGGTGCTTGTAGAAGTGAAATAGTCGTAAGGTACATATGAAGATAATGAAACTGGTGGTAAAAAGGATCTTAGCGAACTACTGGAATTGTCTGAGTTTCCAGATGTTGATGCTGTACCGCCAGCCTTGTATGCACCAGATTCAGATGCACTTTTTTGAGTTTTAAAACAACTGGAACAAAGGTAGCTAGTGTCTGCTCTACCATACATAGAGCAACCTGGAGAAATGCAAGGCTGTTGCTTCCCACGTCCTTGGGGATTCTGCAACTGTTTCTGTTTTTTCTCTTCAAATCTCTTTTTGGCTGAATCAATGTAATTGCTGATCATTTCATCGTAGTAATCAGGCTTTTCATTTGTATGAATCTTAGCAACACATAGCGTGCTTGTGTCCACAAGTTTTTTGATCATACCAGCAAAATTTCCAACTTTGCTAATTGAATTCTCAAGCCAAGATGTCTCTTTGCTTTCTCCATTTTTAGAGACTTCTTTTTTGCCTTTCTTGTCGCTTTCAACCGAGGATTTTTCAACTGCTTGATAACCATCCTTTTTCAACTGTTGTGGTTCTTTCTTTGTAGCATTTGAAGTCCTTATGTGAGCAATGTCTAAATATTTATCCAGAAAACTGAATCTTTTTTCTGGATTAAGCACCATCTTTGTTGGTAGCTGAGTTTCTTCATTCAATGAATTCCAGTYGAACTTTTCTCCAGGATCAACAGAGAAGTGAAGTGGCAACATTGTAAGGTCACGGTCAACAACTGGTATGGCAACCATAGGCTTGTTGTGCTTGTTTTTATCTTCAATGACAACTGCAGCTGAAAAATGAGCTGAYTCGAACACTAGTATTAGAGGTGTTTTGTGACATGTTTGAGGAGAGCACTCAAAGGGAAGGTAGATGCCACCAAAAGGAATAGGTGCAATGGGGTCACCACTGAAATCTCTCAGGAACTTATCAGCTATAATGATAATAGGACGGCGTAAAACATGGGCAAGAACAAAGACATGGATATCTTCTAGACTTTCAAAAGCACCTTCAAGCTCTTTTTCATCCTCTTCCTTSTCCTTTTCAACTTCATTTGGTTTGYTTTTATTTTCATTGTCGGCATCAGAAGTCTTCCCATCACTTGTTTCATTCGCTTCAGAGCAATTTTGATTGTTARACTCAGTTCCATTTTCTTCGTTATTGTTTTCAGTGGATTCCTTGTCTTCCTGGGCTTGTCCTTCTGGTATTGTAGGAATTGGCTTGTTTAAAGAACTTTTGGATTCAGAAGAGTTCAATTTTCTTCTATTCGTAGAAGCCAATCTCAAGACCTCTTCCCATTCTTTTTTCCACTCTTCTTCGTTATAAACCAGTCCTCCAGATTCCATGTTCTTCTGAAACTGTTGCAATTTCCATCGCCTTTTWATTGCAGCACTCTCAGGATCGTCAGCTAGTTTGCGATAAAGTGCTTTCCTTAGTGTTAGAAGACGATCGTGAAACCCCCACATTCCMAGTGARGCTGCATGCAAAAGACAGTTTCCATCACCYACAGTAGCAAGAGGTACAAGTCTTTGACATAATCCCATGTCAGCCCACCAATTTAAATGACCTACAATATCAATAAAGAGAAAACAGCCAAGAGAACAGTTAATTTATTCCTAATTTTACGAACTCCATTATAAGGTTGCTATATTCTTACATGATCTTAACGAAGGAAGCTTTAAAATCCTCTTTTAATTATCATAAGTAGGTGTGTGGATATAACATTCTGATAACAATATTCCCGATAAAAGCCTCTTTCACGAATAAGATTAATTCAATTTCCTGTCTCACATGCACAAAGATCTTGTTCCTTTCAAAATTTTAGTGTAGCCGTAATTAAAATTTAAACAAATGCTTTTTTGCACGAAAACGTGTTCTCAATTAAATGATTCAATGTTTAAACACTTTCCTAGATATTATAGATATCATTTAAAACGGTTATATTATTATTACCTGATTGTTCAAGAGCCACCAAGGCAGATGTCTCGATTAAATCTTCTCGGAGGAACTCCACGAGATCTTGCGGGTAGGTCGACAAGTCAGGGAGCACAAACGTGCATTTAGCCACGTCCTTATAGCTCTCAAACTGGCTTGAATTAGCGGAACAATCTCTTTCTAATACCTTAGTTCTTGCCTTAGTTACTATGTCGGGATTGACAACAGAAATCCCTCTCTGTGGTTTAGTTAAAGGTTTTGTTTTGGTTACACTTTCACTTTTGGACGGCTCTAGAGAGAACTCCTTGAAAGTGTTCAATGCCTCGTCATAATCCCACTCTTTGCCCTCAAGAAGATCTCTAGCAAATGATGGATCGCATCCTGTCTCATCTACGAACTTACTTAAAGTGTCATCCATTGAATTCAAGTCAAAAACACGAGAGACATGACCAAAACAACTTCTCTTCTTTACGCACGTTTGCTTTGTGCATTTGTGGACGAGTAAACTTTGGGAGACTGAAAACTAGTGTTGGTCTCAGTCCTCTAAAAAAAGCGCGCGTTTTTATCAAAAACATTCATTTATTTTTTCGTTTCTTTCAAAGTCCTATTCTCGCCAAAAAATGTTTCAAAATGACTTTGAAACAGAGTGAACAACCATTTAGTTTTTGATGCTGCGCTAGAGCCGTTTCCAGTGACGAAAATGAGGGGAGGAAGTTGTCATGGCGAAATGAGACGCTGAACTATCAACATGCAATAACGAACTAAAAGCGCTAATGGCGGGCACAAGTCTTGGCGAAATTCTGCAACAATTCTCTTTAGAGAAGTATTATGAGACATTTACCTCAGTTGGGATACAAAACACATCACACTTGCTGGCTTTGACTATGCAAGATTATCCAACTTTGGGGATAACCTCGATGCAAGATCGAAGAAAAATGTTTCATTTGATTCAAAACGTCAAAGACAAAGAAAATTTGACATCAAAGCCAATGATCTCTAAAGGTGAATGAAAGGGTTATAAGTCATGTTGGACAAGATTATAAAAGATATGATAGCATACGCTGTAAAAGCGTCTGCGAGAATCAATAATGATTGGGTAGATTGTTTGATGTTTTGTATGATAATGTGTGAGCCTTGTTTCCGTGTGGTAAGTTAAGGAAACAACGTGTCCTAGAACTTATAGTACAGTACATTATGGACATGCATGATTGCCTTTAGCACTTCTCCTCCCTGTTCCCTACCCCCTAACCTTCCCCCCTCCCCCCTTCCTCCCATCTATGTCATCACACATTGTTCCATCACCAATCAGTAATTAGGATTGGATGTGTTTGGCAAGCACTTCGGTACATCGAATTCATCAAAATTACTGTGATTACTCAAGGCAATCAGTTTGCAAAGAGAAAAGACAAAGAGCATGCCAAGGAGCAAGGTCAAACACCTATGCAAACACCTGTTCAACCAAAGACAACACCTTTCAGGTTAGGAAAGCAACTTGATACACTGCATTAAAATACATTCATCATATAAAATTTATGAGTGTCTTTGTTTGCTTATTCTTTTATTCAGAAACCGTAATGTCACCACTCCAAATATGCACAACTTCAGCTATGGCATCCCGTCATCAAAGCTAAAACCTTCAACATCAAAATCAAAAATTGACAGTTCTAACATTAAAGTCTGTGTGAGGAAAAGGCCACKKGGKAGTGATGAAATAGAGCTTGAGGCAGATATTGTTAATGTTGATGMMGAAAGTTCTGAGGTGGTCATAAATGCACCAAAAGTAGCCGTAGATCTTACACAATACATGCAGAAGGTGAGATAATAGTTGACTATGGTGAGATTCAAGTCAAAAAGATAGTTTTGTATGACAATATTCACCCCTACCTCTGTTGGGAAAAATTGATATTTGGTTGCAGGGGTGGGGGAGGGGGTAAGGAAATGTTGCTCATCAGCTTGATTTTGAACTCTATTTGCTGCTTTTACAAGTTATCTACATTTATGGTGAATAAATTAATGTAATCTTAAATAAAGAGAAAAAATATACAATTTGATGAATGRRTTSTTTATTGCAGTTTTCATTTGTGTTYGATGAAGTCTTTGATGAGAGTTTCTCAAACCATCAAGTCTATGAGAAAACAGCTAAACCACTTGTAAATGCAATCTTCACAGAGTAAGTAGATGTTCTATGTTTTGTACATTTGTTCAGCTATAACTTACAGTGAATTTGTGACAAGGAGGAACATTCTTTGCCCTCTTATTGGCACACCCTTTTGTCAATGTAATCAATATAGAAAACTAAACTTACGATCACAATTATTAATAATATCTTTTGCAGGGGTGCAAAAGCAACTTGTTTTGCTTACGGGTGTACAGGTAGCGGTAAAACCTATACTATGCTCGGCACTGACAATGTACCAGGGCTATATCTACTTGCTGCAAGTGATATTTTCAATATATTGTACTCTGGTAACCATGGTAATGACCTTGGCCTTTGGGTGAGCTTCTACGAGATTTACTGTGGACAACTCTTCGATTTACTCAACGAGAGAACAAAGTTAGTGGTATTTAATGATCATATGTAGTGACTCAGGGGAGGGGGGAGAGTAGGCTAAGGGGGGGCAGGTGTAGTCCAAGAGCTAGATAGTAGTGATCCTAAAGATGATTGCTTGATATAAATTATTAATATTATGCAGACTATTTGCAAGAGAAAATGCAAATCACCAAGTTTGTATTGTGGGTCTCACTGAAAGACAAGTAAAAAATGTTGAAGAACTAATGGAGGTAAGATGGCTTAAAAACCAGAAATCTTAAGTTTTCAAGAGTTTTTAGTGCCCAGTTTTTTAGTGACCATTACAATCTTTACTAATATATCTAGGTAATAGAAAGTGGAGGGAACTCAAGAAGTACTGGCTCAACTGGAGTAAATGCTGATTCCTCAAGATCCCATGCTATCCTTCAATTAGACCTTAAACATGATCAAGAARGGGGGTCATTAGGGAGGTTTTCCTTCATTGATCTTGCTGGAAGTGAACGAGCAGCAGACGTCACCGATTCTGACAAGCAAACAAGAATGGAGGGAGCTGAGATTAACCAAAGCCTTTTAGCTGTAAGGAACGGTTTCTGTTGTGCTATTGTTGAGTCTTTGTTTAGTTACTTCTCGTTTATTTTTAATAGTCCTCAATGGACTCCTTTGCATTAAAACAAGATATCTGGTGAGCTTGTAAGGATAGATATCTGTGAATGTATGATTTACAAAGAAGGTAATCTATCATTGCAAGATCACTTGTTTTCTTCCACAACTGCATGGTTACCTTTCAAGATGCTGCAGGGACCAGTAAAGGAGACTATTTTATATAATTTAAATTCTGTAGCTGCTATTTAGTTTGCTTGTAGCTGTTTTTCTATTATCAACTGAAAGTAAATGATTTCTTTTTGCAGCTTAAAGAATGCATAAGATCTCTAGACCAGGACTCCAGRCACACACCATTCAGGCAAAGCAAACTTACACAGGTTAGTATACTATCTGCAAGCAGGAAGCTTATGTATAATATAGTTTTCATATACCCTTTTCCATTTGATGCCGATATTATTGAAATTGTTAATCTTMAAGGTATTAAAAGATTCATTTATTGGCAACACAAGGACGTGTATGATTGCTAATGTGTCACCTTGTCARTCATCCTGTGAAAATACTCTAAACACTCTTCGATATGCTGACAGGTATGTCTTATGATTCCTCGTGATTATTATATGTGTAATAAGTACTTATTTAAAACATGTTTATAAACTTTGCTGTGCTGCATTATTTTATGAAAATTAGGGTAAAAGAGCTCAACAAAAATGTTGCACCTGATTCTTTGTCACCAAGACCTGTAACAGTTCACGGAAATATTAGAAAAGATACTAACAGTCATATGACAAGAGTGACCAATAGTTCAMTGAAGAATAAACCTCTGGTATGTTTAGGGAATGAGTGAATGAATTAAGAATGGAAGGAATGGATTATACATTTTAATTTGAATTCTTTTTTGTCTATAAGGGAAAGTCTTTAAATTTAAATAGCACTGAAGGAACTGACAGTGAAAACACAAGAAACAAAAGAACTCCCAAGACAAAAAGCAAAACAGTCTTGAAGTCACTTCAGATTCCTCCAAATACACCAAGACAAAACYCCTTACTACTTTCAAGACCTGAAACTTCGCCTGCAGTTATCAGAGAGGGGACTTATAAACCAAGGAGTCAAAGTAGACTTCACCAATTGAGTAAAGAGCAATCTTATAATATGTCAAAAACAAACCAGCAAGTTTGTCTTCAAGAAAAATCCAATAAAGATGGAAATATTCTGAACRAGACACAAATGAKAGACAATAAAACAAGTAAGYCTGTTTTAAATGGTGAAAACAGAACAGAAAGTGTTAAATATTCCAAAACAAAGCCAAAGTCTTTTGGTTTTCAAGCAAGAAATACTGATTTAAACCAAAGTRGTTTACCCATAGAACAAGAGGAAAAGACTGGGATTCAAAATGTCAGGTTTTCGGGCAATAGAAGRCAAAATATCCAGAGGAACAGACTTGAAGTTTTTCCTAACAAAAACATAATTGAAGAAGTAAAAGATGGACCAAGCACTCCAAAGCTAAGAGCAGCTAATACTCGAAAAATTAATAGTCAACAGCAACATGCTCAAAATACTAGGAAACAAAGCAACAAACTGACTTCACATGATAACAAACCTCACTTTCCACAACATGAAAATCCAACAGAAAGACCTCAAACTCCAAAACTAAGACCAAAAGATAAACTAAAAAACACCAGTCAACAGGAAAATGATCATACTGTTAAGAYRAGAAACAACCACAYGACTTCAAACAATGATAAACAACCAAACAATCAAAAATATGATATCCTAAAGCTTGATGCAGGGACTGAGACTTTGCTTAGTCTGCAAGGAAATGTSGCAAATTTCCCAGATGAACAGAATCAAATGCCAATGGAGAAGGCTCACCAAGAACTAAAACAGCCYAAGTTTGAAGTCAAATCAAAAACWTCTCCAGATGCTCCACTGTCTAATCATCGCTACAGTAAAGGTATCAAGGCTAGGTTAGCACAACTGTTTACGAGCAAAAACGCAATGAATTCTGGAGATTTGTCTGATCACAAGGATACTGTGACTTTGTCATCTTCTTCAAGGTAGCTAAAAACTAGTTCATAGATCCCAGCTGTTTGATATCATAAGCTAATCATTTATATCTATGATTTTTTCTTACATTATTTTTCACCCATATTTAAAAGAAATGAAASAGCTCCTGTACAACAAGGTTTGGCAGAAAGCATCAAACACAGAGTCATATCAGAAGAACARTTAATAGCTGCACATCACACRCAACTGGCAATGATCACAAGTCTWTGTCATGAAGAAATGGTTTTACTCAAACAACGGGAAAGTCAGGTAAAGTTTGATGTCAAAACTGTCAAATAATCTGCAAATAGAGTGTTTGGAGATAAAAATGAACAACAATAAAATAGCCATCAACACTACCATTCAATAGCAAACACAACACTCCAGTGTTAAAAATCCTTGAAGTATGTTCAAAATTAAATTTTGTTTTTGATTTACAGGATTTTTCAGAGTACATAGCTCAAGTTGAAGATATTTTACTCCAGAAGCAAACATGCATCCAAAATCTACAGGAAAAACTACGAAACTGGAAATCATCTTTACACCAATGAGAAAAGTGACCATTTTATTCTAAAAAAGCAATAGAAAGGATATTGTAATATWATAATTAATGTGTACAGAGTAATATCTTCGATTTATGTTATTTTAAATCTAGTGAGATCTGTATATAGTAGTAAGAATTATAATTATTTTAAAGCAAAACACAAAAATCTTTTTTCTTATTTAACTTTGGACAAAGGCCAACCTGCATTTTATACGTCCAGATCTAATGTAAAGCAGGCTAGCGAAGGTCACTTAACAGACTCCAAAGGGGGATGAGCAAATTTGTCAGGGGGGATGTAAAATTATTTGTAATGGTGTGTACAAATTGGCCTGACGCCCCCAAGATCCACTCTTGATGAGTTATTAACATCTTAGACCATCACTGGTGCTCATATAAAGGTTTGCAATTGACCACAGGAAGCCCAGTCTACTCGGCTAAGGGCTCCCTGTGTTGTGCTTACTAAAATCCCATACATTTGACAGCAGTACTAAAACTCTTACGACTCTGAACAAAAATGAATACCATGTTTTGGTTATATTCTTTCAAGCTTTAAACGCAACTCCTTGTCTATGTCTTTCAATGCATCCCTCATATTATCATGAATAAAGTTGCATGCTGATTCAAACGTCAGCCATTTGTAATCCTGGTGTTCATCGGACAACTTTACAGACTTTTTGTAATCTTTAAGCTCTGCTAACCAATAAATCACAGTCTTGGGTCGTCCACGGACTTCGTAATGAAGTGTTTTCTTTACTGAAGTCATATTCAAATCGTCCTCTCCGAATCCAGCTTCTTCTTTCGTTTCACGAAGTGCAGTCTCGTAGTCGGATTCGCCGGGATCTACATGTCCTTTGGGCGGCGTCCAGTGATGTTTGCCATAAGATGTTTGTAGTAACAAATACTCTGGCAATCCTTTGGCTTTGAGATAACGATAAATGACTAGACCTGCAGCTCGCAATTCTCGACCAGACGCCATATTGACTACACAGGGAATCCAGATATAATAAACACAGGGAACCCAAAGGATGAGCAGAAACCCACAAAAATCAAAAATATTCGTTTATTTCTAGAAATATATGTTTAACATATTAACGTATAAAAAACAATTGACAAAGATTTGTAAAAATATATTATCTTAGTCAATCTTGCCGATATAAAAATGTTAACAGAGTTACAAGTATGCTCTCGGGCTGGTTAAAACAAGTCTCCTGCCTTAGTCTCCTCAGTTTCGTTCTTCAACACATAACATTATCCGTTTCCATCTGACGTTACTTCTACAAGACACTTATTTCCAACTCATCTTCACTGTAGGCCATAGTTTTTGTCCTCGCAACAGAGCCTGTTTCTCTTAAGCTGGATCCGTTATCTATAATTTCTCGTCTTCATCTCCAAGCGATAGCGTTCCATGGCGTTTTCTACAAAGCCGACCACACCCTGGTATCCCATAATGCTCCGCCATCTCTTCAGCCTCCTCGATGGTCTGTGGTAGTTTTGTATTCAGTGTCTCAGGCAGCCAAAGAGAGAGAATGCCAGCAGCCAACGCACAAACTCCGAAAATTGTCGTTGGGAGGGTTAGACTTAGACCGGGGAGATTGGCCTGATTGGACAAAATGAGAAAGAATTTTTAAAATGAAACACAGGAAACCCATATCACAGGAAGTGTCCTACCAGCATAACAACGTAAGGAGCAAGAATCCCTCCTACACGAGCACTCATGGAACCCATACCAATGGCGCTATTTCTGTTCAAAGAAAAAAAAAGTTTCAGTGCGTCTACTACAGCCAAGGTGATATCTAAGCATATCTTTATAGAACGAAGCAAACTCGTTAGGGATGGGCTCTTACCTGACCAACGTTGGATAAAGTTCAGTTGTGTACAAATACACGTTGGAGAATTCTGTTGTGATGAGGGTTTTTCCTATTACAGCTAACACAGTCCTGGCAACTGGGTAATCTATAAGGAAAATTGAAGACAACCGTTTAGACGAGACGGTGCGGCAACTTTACCAACGGTTCCGAGTTACCTTCTGGTACTGCAACAATGAGAATGCTAGCAACTCCTGTGCCAATCATATATGTACCATAGGGAAGACGACGTCCAAACCTTAAATTGTAAATGATCAAAAGTTTTTTACTAAACGTCCCAAAAGGATTTTGGAACATGAGGAATAACAATATCAAAAGCAAAAACGCAAAACGTGAAAACGAACGAGAGTTGCCCGTCTCCATTTTTACCAGGAGGCATCGTAATTTACCCATAAACCCTTTCGGTCTAGCTTAATGGTTCAAACTTACTTTTGCATCAGATACCAGCACAAGAACAGCTGTGGTACATAAATGCTATTCATGATGAAGTAGTTTATGTAAAGACTGCCAGCCAGGTTTGTCACGTACAAATAAAACCCAAAATGAACAAGAGCCACAACAAACCTGTACAGTACAGAAAGAAAGCAAACACTTTAGGCTGAATAAAGCTAGATTATGTGTTTTTCGCGACGATAGTGGCGGTGGCAGAGGGAGCGTACCTCTATCTTTTAGTGTCCCCCCTCCTTATAAGTGTCTCCATTGAGACCTTTTTGTGTGGTGCACCCACACCTCTTATGGACCCCAACCCCTTCAAATAGTACATACTGAATCCGCCCCTAGACTCACCAATTAAAAGCAAGGATAATCGATCTTTTACGAAGTTTTGGTGTGCGGAAAAGGTCGATCACAGTATATTTCTTCACGTGTTTTTCTCTTTCAACTTGGTCTCTTCTTATTTCCTGAATAAGAGTCCTTAAAGCAGTTTGGTTGACTGGTTCACCTTTCCTTCCACCGCATTTCATCAGCACACTTTCTGCTTCGTCTAGTCGATTGTGTGCGATGAGCCATCGCGCAGACTCTGGAAATACCCTGCATAAAAGATGGTTAATGACCCGAAAGGAACGATGGAAGCAATGGCATGCAAACGTGTGTTTCTAGCGGTCTGCGGCTTCTTCGTCACTGCTTCACCACAAATACAAACTATCGGTAAACGATAGTTTTTCATATGAAAGATTTTTTCGTTCAATACTTACTTAAAGAAGAGCAAGAACAGTGCAGGAGACACTGTCATGGCAACGACAAGATATCTCCAGTCCCTCACGAAGTAAGCAATCAATGCCGTCGAGCAGTAGCCTGGTGACCAGAACACGTGATTGATTTGCCCACCCATCGCTCGTCGTCTGGGGCCGAGTAACTCGATTGCAAAAACGTATGCAGAAAGCATGAATGAAATCATAGAGAACCCGACAAAGAAACGAAGAAGACCGAGTAATGACAGACAGTCGGCAAAGGACGAGGCGACACCAACTGTAACCTAAAGCAAATATACACAGTAGCAGTCAAAGTAAGCCATATATGGCTGTGAAGTACTAGCAGTTCACGCGACTCTATTTATATGGGTCACAGTACTGCTAATCGGTCAGAAAAATCAACGCAAATTGCGGCAAAACATTTCTGTAATCCAGTAGGGCAGGACTAGAAAGCACATGAATAACAACTCTCTTACCAGTAATGCACAGTTGAAGAACATACACGTTTTTCTCCCAAATGCGTCTGACACTATGCCTCCAATAACGGATCCTACCATCATTCCAGCAAAGAAACAAGATTGAATAACAGCTTGGATATATGCACGATCACAGATGAGATTCCACTATTGAAAAAAAAGATTAAAATCTGAGTAGAGACACTTAACTATTTTAAGTATCCATGTTGCATATATATGTATATAGTTTTTTTCACTGCTTCTATCTCGTGCTCCATGTTCTCCGTTCGCAGATATTCAGTCGCGCATGAGAGGCCGTGCACTATCCCATTCTGTCTCCGCGCTTATTTTACAACTGAAAAAGGATGTCAGTATTGTTTCTGTATTATCTCTTACCTCAGTGACAATAGAAGTAAACTGGCCGTCAAGAAACTCGTACGATGTACAATTTGAACAACACTTGTTGAYKTCACACGTCACGTTGGGCGTGGCACACTGAAAACGTGGGCTTCCCATTGCAAAAACTAACAGACCAAACTGTGGCCCAAGCAGGAAATTCAAGAAAGATGTACCAAAATACACCACTTTTTGGTAGTTTCCAAAAGATGGAATGTGATGGAAGACGTCATCGTAGAGTTTTTCACGGTTAGAATCAATGTTAAACTTTTCCGCAGACATCGTAACTAGATGGACATCAATATCAATTTTTAACGACTCTGTGTGWTACGGTATCATAAACAATGAACTCTCGTTATAACGGACACCTTCGGGACTGTAAGTGTCTTCAACAGCCGGTGTCTGCTGTAAAGGGAGTTATTTTCACTAATTGAAGTGGGRATTGTTGGACATGTTGGATTGTCCGCGAAAACAGGTACAAGGTAAGAGGTGGGTTAAATGTAAACTACTAGATTCTGATTTGACGTAATCCAGGACTGAATTCGCCAGTCATTTTCTTGACGGGCTATCTTAAAGGTACAGGGAGCCCAACAATTCAACGGTTTAAAGAGACTATCTGAGCCCGAGTGGGGCCTACGTCAAAAACTCAAGTGCTTTTGTTTCTCAGTTCGTCATTCAATATAGAGCCGGAGATAGAGACAATAACGGGTGGATATGGTCAAGTTAACAGTACTGTACGTGATCAGACATACTACATTTATGCAGTATTCAGMGATGAAATTGAATCGACCAGAGTGTAGCCTGAACAACTGAATACCCACCACGAATATTACAGGGAGGGGGGAGCTGGCACA